AAGAAACCTGTGAAAAAAAGTTAATGAATTAAGAATTAATGCTTTTAATCTTTTATAAACAAAAAAAAAAAAAAACCTAACCTTTCATTGAAGTAGAACAATTGAAAATTGGGGGATATTTGATTATGAACTAAACGTTTTTTTTCTCAAATACACACTGACCACAATCATTGACACCCTTTTATTCAATACTTTTTGAAACCTCCATTTGCCAAGATAAGATAACTCTTGAGTCTCTCCTATAATGCTATCACTATTACCCACCCTCTTAAAATCCATTTTATAGTTGTTTATCGACCCTGAGGGCTTTATTGCTGTAAAATAAAAATTCCACATTATGGCAGGAGTTAATAAGCCCAATGTCTCATATATTCTGTATCATATCTTCAAATCATATCTTTTACAGAAATGTTATACCTGAGAGCAGGCCGTGTATCTCCACTCTTGAATTGTTCTTGACAAACCATAGACACGTCACTCTTCATAGACACACAGCTGGGCTCTGCTTCTTTTCTATTCTGATGAACTGAGCTAAACAGAGAGAGATTACATTTCAACCTTTAAATTACTGTATGCAAATGATTGTATGTAAAGAGCACTTAGTAATCATTTAATTCACTGTTTATACAAAAATAGTGAACTGAACTGTGATATATGATAATGTAAAATGTCATGTTATAATCATATTTTTATACAAATGTTATATCTGAGATCAGGCTGTGTATCTCCACTGTTAAACTTAATTGGTTCATGCATAGACTTGTCACTCTTCATAGACACACAGCTGGGCTCTGCTTCTGATCTCTTCTGATGAACTGAGCTAAAACAGAACAGATTTAACCCTTTATTATGAGAATCATCTTAATATAATAAAATAATCATCTTAATATACTTCAAAAGGTATTTTTATAAAAACACTTTTGGAGCGTTTATAGTCTTATTGTTTTCAATGAATATTAAACTTATAAAAACTATACACAAAATACACTTTTTTTTATATAAAAGGTTATTTAATGTGTTAGTCAAAATACCTGTGTCCTGGAAAAGAACAGTCATCTCCAGGTGTTTGTGGTTGATCCATGATGGATCTGAAGAGTTTGATCTCCACCACTGACAAACAAGTGAAGTGACAAACAATCACAAAAACTACAGTAATTAAACACCCTTATATTGTTGTACATTTTATTAGACATTTAAACATATTCTGTATTGTAAATAATTGATTCTGTCTGTTTAAAATGGCTAAACATCACCTCTGATCATTTACAGTCACTTTTATACCATTCTCATCACAAGGACACTAAATGATCTTCAGCAAAGGTGATTTGACATTACAGTCATTGTCTCATATTTTCTTGTACCGTTAAAGTGTCAGATGGGAATATGCATATGTAAATTGTATTCAAAGGAGGTTATGCATAGTAAACTAGGTGTTGTAAGCTCCATATCTGGTTATTTCAGGGAGGAGACGGGTGTGGATGAATGTAAACAATCTTCTGCGGGATTTATTTGTGCTTATGCAAAATCTGCCTTCTCTGCACAGGAACACTTTAAGGATGAAATATAAGTTTAATACATCTAAATATACTCTATATTTACGGGGAAAAACTAAAACAAGCTTTGATGGCTGTTGGATGTTTTTTTTGCAAACGAAATTTCTCTTAGAAAATTACAAGATTACACAAAGAACATAAAGGTGAGATATTCTCCTTATATTAATTAAGAAAGACAATGCATGAGTAATATCTATGCGTGAAATACATTTATTAAAATTTCATATGAGTAATATCTATGAGTGAAATACATTTATTACATTTCATATTATGTACAGTGTAAAACACAACCTTTACAAAACTATAGGGTAGGTTGTAACAACAGTAGCTACTTTCATTTACACTGATAATTATATTAAGTTTGAAGACACGTTTACAATCTTGTAATCCCTAGTTGTCCATATTTAATCATATTTCTTGAGTGCTTCATGATTAAGTTAGTATTTTATGCTTACTTACATTAATAAGGAAGTCACTTTGTACTCCACACCTAAAGACTTGCTTTGATCAAAATGTTCGGCTACTAGACAAGTTTTCCAAATGTCCTTTGGTCTGTCATTATGTACAAGTCAATTCCCACGTGAGCAAATAAAAAAAAGAGTTTCAAAATGAAAAACAAAAAACAATAATAAATCTTACAAGCAGGTTTAAACGTTGCCCGTAAAACAATCTGCATTCACTTTCATTTTGTCAGCAAGGTTGCCAAACCTGTTTGGAGAGAGGGAAAAAAACACCTCATCATGACAGTA